CATGGCCCGTCTCCTGCTCTTTAAAGGGACACTCACCTCACCTCCTCCCCTGACCTTGGTTGGCAATCCTCCTCTGCACTTGCTGCCATGGCTGCAGCGGGGCCTGCGCCCAGGCCTCGATGTGCCAGTGCATTTGTGGGGCTTGGAAGGTGACCGCCAGGCGTGTCTGCAGCCCCGTGGACCCCCGCAGGCGGCCGTGGCCGGGCCTCCTGGGTATTCCTGCTCTAGCAGCGTCTGGGCGTCATGTTAACTCAGACCTCAGTCCGAGTGTAGGTGTGCCTGTCCTCAGAATGCCTGGCATCCCCTCCCCGAGCCCGTGGTCCTCAGGTTCATGGCCGATGGTCTCTTGGGGAAGGGCCAGAAGAGCATCAGCGTACACGCTTGTCACGCTGTTGCAGGGCCTTTCCCTTTGGGGCCTGGTTCCCTTTTCCGTCTGTGGATTCCAGATTTGAAAACTGACTCAGATTCACAACTGAGCGAGGGGTCAAGACATTTTATTGGGGCACCTGCCTTCGGACTCTTGCTCACAAATTCTCGCTCTTGACTAGACGCGGTAAGAAGCAGTACCCCATTGGCTTCCCACCTACTTTGCCCCTGGAACGCCACATGCTGCTGCCATCTCCATGCCTCCAGGGACCAGGCCATACTGTCACTGAACTGTCAGTCACTGGGAAGACGATGACCCGGCCCCAGGCAGTGGGGAGCCGCCCTGCTCTGCCTTCAGGGGCCACGTGCCAGCGCATGGGGGAGCCAGTTCTGTGCCCCTGCCGCCCACACTGCCTACAGGGAGCCCTGGGCGGGGGGGAGCCCTGGAGGGCGGGGTTAGCCTCCCGCATGCCCCTGCAGCCATGGGGGGTACTGGGGGCTTCCCATGGAGCCTGATCATCAGGCGGCTCTCCCGACGCACATAACGCGTGTGACGCAGCAATTCCCGCCCCGAGCCTTCCACCCCCTTCTCAGCGTCTGTCCCAGGAGCTGGCATTGCAGCCCAGGCAGCGAGGCCTCACTCTCCTCAGGCTCCTGAGTGCTGGCAGGTGAAAGTCTGTTCCCCGAGGCTCAGCAGGCCCCCTGTTGCGTGTGGCCGCCTCCTCGCTTGAGCGCCTCATAGCAGCCCAGCCCAGGGGGCCCTCCCTCCCCGCCCCTGCCAGTAGGTAAGGGCCCCCCTGCCCAGGCCCAGTGTGTGTGGGCTGCGAGGCCAGCAGCTCTGAGGGTGCAGCCTCTCCTTTCCTCCAGGCTCAACTGCCCCTGGCCTGGGCGGTGCTGGGACTCTCCCTGATCTCAAGCCCCCCATCTGCCACCCTGTCCCACCACCACACGCTGTCCGACCACCACGCCCAGTTGCTGGCTGGGCCTCCCCAAGAATGTGTGCCCTTGGCATCAGTGTTGAGCCTGGAAGAACTCACAACCACACTGCTCACTGCATTGTTTCAACTGAGCTCAAAACTCTTTCACAGGAAAGGTGTAAGAAACTTAATAAAAACAAAACCAATCAGCACATAAGGCCCATTCTACATGTTTTTAGTTATTTTATTTTTTTAAATATACTTTTATTTGCTTTCCGAGAGGAAAGAAGAGGGAGAGAAAGATGAGAGAGAATCATTGATCAGCTGCCTCCTGCACACTCCCTCCTGGAGATCAAGCCTGCAACCCGGGCATGTGCCCTCATAGGGCATCGCCCATGCCCTCCTTGTTCCCAGCCACTGAGCCGGCCAGCCGGGCTGGTTTTTAGGGAATCACATGTTTGTGTTTGTTTCGTTTCCGGTGTCTCCTGCCCAAGCAGCAGCGCAGGCCCATTGGGTTAGGGCTCCTGTGGCCTCACCCACCTTCGGTCTGAATCTTGTCAGAAACCTTTGCTCACGTCACAGCCTCACAGAATAAGCCTCCTGCCCACATGTCATAAAAAAGATGTTTGTCCAGACTCACAGATATAGACAACACCTGCGGCCCCCCTGGAGGGCTGGGGAGGACGAAGGCAGCAGGGGCGCAAACTGCAGTCACAGAAGCAGCCTTGGGAGGTGACACAGCAGGGATGGAGTCACTCCCATCATGCTCACAGCCGTGTGTGGAGCCGGGGCACAAGGCTTATCCGGTTGCATGTGTAATCACTGTTCTCTACCTGGAACTAACATGACCCTGCGTGCCAACTGTACTGAAGTAAATGTCTGAAATAACCTAAAACATGTAAGATATAAAAAACGGCAAAAAAAAAGAGAGTTTGTCATTTCTCAATCTGTAACGGAGTGAACACTTGAAATACACACTGACCAGCTTCCCAGTCCACCCGGCCCATCGGCCCCTCACCTGGCACTGCCCGCCAGGTGCTCCAGGTGGTTCTCAGCCAGGCCTCCACCTCGGGCACCTGCCTATGCCCAGGTGGCATTCGTCGCAGTAGGAGTCCTGCCTCGAGAAGATGACGCATTTAATGTGGGTCAAAAGCCTGAGAGGCAGACAGCCCTGAGCACATGCAGAAAGAAGGCAATGCGTGGGGATGCCGCCAACCGTTGAAAGCAGAGCGGCTCTTCCGCTTCCAGCCCCGTGGGCCGGCCCAGGACGAACCCACTGACGAAGGGAGAGGCTCTCCAGGCGAGTCCAGGGTTGGCTTTATTTGGATGAGGCATCAAAAATCAGATTTTCTGTCACATAAATATGTGCTTGGGGAGGAAAAGGACATTTGATGTCTTCAGGTAAATATATGTGGAGGATTCATGATACCAGAGTAAGCTTAGTGTGCAAAACGTACCGAATTACCATGGGTTTTTAGAAAGACATCGGATAATTTATTCTAAAAAATGGTGTAAAAAATTATACCAAATACTCTTGTCCATTGTAGGACAACTTGCTCAAAACTTAAATTATATGATTTTGTATGGTTTTGTCTGGTCAGGAACAAATCTGGAGTCATTTAAAATTTCCCATGATTGACATACAGTTTTTTTCTGCTACATTGAAATGCTTTCGTTTTAAACAAATCTCACTCTAAATGTTTTGAATAGTAACCTTAGTTTATGTCTAAGCCAACTTTTCTCATTCTTCATTTATCTTAACAAGTTTTTCCCTTGTTTACAAGACCTTGTAAATTCTTTACTTACTGCACATGTTCCCATCTCCTCCCAGGGCCCTCCCTGGGCCCCGAGGGTTCCAGGGCCCGGCCTGGCTTCCTGGGGAAGAGCAGCCCCCTGTTCACCTCCCTCCATTCGCTAGAAAGGGCCCTGGGCTCCCGCAGGGCGGGCCGGAGAGGAGAGGGGAGAAGGAAGCCCAGGCGAGCTGAGAAGGCTCCGTGACGGCTGCGTGCACACCTGTGCACACACAGTGCAGCCTGCCTGTGGCCACGCTCAAGCCACAGGACTGAACAGACTAAGGAGAAACCAGCTCCATCTGAATGTGGGAGCCCGCTTTGTCTCGTCTCAGTCCCATGCTGCTGAATGCTAATCCTGTAACGTTATCCAGTTGCCTTTTTTTGGTACAAAGGTAGAAGGGGGGTTTCTTTTGTGTTTTCAGTGCAAAGCGATTCCGATCAGAAAGGCTTGGGGTTTCAGCTCCGAGTACCTGACATTTCCATCTGAATCTCCTTTTTCGAGGGCTGGGGGAGGTCTGGTTTCTCAGGAAAGGAACCTTTCTCCAGGATCCTGAAACTGATCTTTAGATGTACTTTTCCTTAATCAATAGAAAGAACTTGATTGCAACTCAACACTCGCCTGCCTCAAGTGCAGGGTAACTGAATTTTTGGTTTTAAGAGTAGGCGATTCAGACATCATTTCAGGAATCAGCAATAATTGGCAGCAGGAGGGGGAGAACTGACATGGATTCCTGTTTTGCCTGAGTTTTCCTGGTTTACCAAGATTTGGCTTAATATTTCTGACTCTGCTCCTCCAGCCTCTACAGAACAGGTTAGTGACATGTTCCGTAAATGCAGATGCTTGAGTGAGTTCTCCTTATGGCTCGAGGGCTCGGGGTCGGGCACCGCATCCCCTGCCAAGGCTGGGGTCTCGGCAGGTCTCACGCCGCTGCCAGCAAGGCTGTGTGCCTCGCCACGCACTGCAGGTTTCCGAGTGTGCCTGACCCTGGAGATTTACAAAACGCCCCCAGGGCAGGGCAGGGTCCTGCTGGTCCGTGGCTGTTGGCTGAGGAGCTGGGGGAACCTCGAGGAGTAAGAGGAGGTGTGCACTGAAGGGCGGCCGAGCAGCCTGCGGTCTCGCTGCCCTGGGTCGGGGCAGGTGCGTGCGCCTTGGAGCTGCCTCTCAGCCTGACGGGCGGCCGGACTGTCCGCGCCCCTTGGGGGGCAGCACAGCCTGCTCAGCTGCTCCCACCGACATGCAAGCAGGTCCACTTCCGCGAGCTCCTTGGTCACTTTGCTGGACTAGTGACTGGCTTGCGTGTTGAGTCCTGCCTGTTCTTGCTGTTGTTCCGAGGGGCAGCCCTGGCAGGGTCCCCTGCCTGTCACCCTGGACGCGCTCACCCTGGTGGGAGCAGTGGGCAGTCTGTACTCACCCCACGCCCCCGTCAGCGCTTCCGATGGTGGGTGACCTTGCTGTGGAGAAGGGGACGGCGCACTCGGAGCTTCCCCACCTGCAGGGCTGCATTGTTTAATTGACCTTTACCTGAACCTCATCGGAAGCTGCTGTGAGAGTCGGAGGAGCCCGGTCTCTGGGGGATCCGGCACGGCCTGCATCCTCGGAGCCCCCACTGCTCGGTGCTCAGGGGCCAGAGCGGCTGGCTTTCCGCTCCTCTGTTGCCCCCGGGGCTTCTGTGTAATCTCCTGGTGATTGCGTGATCTCATCACACGTCCAAGCTGGCTTCACGGGGGAGTCTGATTTGTTCATGGAGCATTGAACTTGGGGGCCCTGCCAGCGCGGAGCCGCAGCCCCACTCAGCTCCGTGATGTTGTCCTGGGAGTTTGTCCTGTGATGTTGCCTCGTGCCTGGGACTCGCCACTGAGCACACCTGGTGTCGCATCGGTCTGGCCCGCTGGGACTTCCCCTCTTTCTGTTTGGCCTTCCAGGATGAATTACTCCTCGTTCCTTCGGATCTGGGTCTCTTTCATCTTCGCGCTGGTACAGCACCGAGGTGAGTCCTGCAGGGTTGTGTACACTCCTGATCCGCGTGCTCTTGAATATATGAAGGGACGCTGTGGTGCAACTATCATTGTCAGGGCTACGTGTGCCTACAGATGCAACAGAAAATGTAAATGAAATGTTGTGGTCAAAAGCAAAATACAGTGACGCTGAATAACTTGTTTACTTATATCCCTACTTTTCTTATTTAACTGTGAACACCATTTGTGTATACACTGGACCGCCCCATGATAATGGGTCTTTAAGAAAATGCAAATTATTTTCATTAAAAGCATATAGGGCAGGTGTGTGTGCTGCCCAGACCTCATGATTGATCCCCATTGAGGCATGGGGACTTTAAAGAATACACTTGTTTTACCCCAAATCAGGGAGTTCAGTGGCATTGGTGTGGGTGCCCTGGGTCAGTGACCTTCTACTCAGCCAGAAACCTGAGCCGCAGTGAGACACACATGATCGCCCTCCCTCCGCGACTCCTTCTCCACTCTGCGCGGCGTGGCCGGGGCAGCGAGAATACAGGGACATTTCTTTCCGCTGTTTCGGATTTTAGGAAAGAAAGGTGGGGAAGTCTACATGGATTTGAAACGCTTATCGCTAAAATTCAAAAACATCGTTCTTTGTATTGTTTGTTTGTCTGGTTCACCGGCACATGATCACAAATCTGACATTTTCCGAGAGCTGGGCAAATTCAAACAGTGTAGCATGCAACCCCCATGAGCGCCCTACTGACTCTCATCTCCTACCCCTGCTCTAAGCAAGTACATTTTATTTGGTAAAAAAAAAAAAAAACAAAAAACAAAAAAAACCACCAACGTCCGGGAGCAGAGTGATGTCTATGAAATCCCCACCTGGAGCGAGCGAGTTCCCTCTCATGAGCTCTGGTGGCAATAAATAGGCCGTCTGTTAACAAGTTGTATTTTTTTTATAATATTGATGCCTTCCAAGGTGGAAATAACTGTAGTTAAACCTATTCCCTTTTATTAAGCACCTTTTATTATTCAACAAGTCTTTGTTAAACATATATAATATTACATATCTTTATTATTTGTATTCTTCTTAAAATGGAAAAAGTTTTAACCGTCCATTCTTTCCTGTTCAAAACCATGCATAGTTGGGGTCACTCATGAAGAGAAAACTCTTCCCAGGTTACCCTGGTTGGAGCAGAGAGAGAAGCGAGGGGCCGCCCGGATGGCCACAGTTCTGCCGCCTCCTGGGGGTGTGGCTTTTGCGTGTCCTAGGCGGGGTGGCCACGGCTGCCACATGCCGGTTAACCTTCCCGTTAAAGTGATGGCAGGTCAGTGTGAATAGAAGCCTGTTCACACGTGGGCATCTCTTCTAAATAGTTGCTCATGAAGGATAAACCCATGACATGATTTGCTTTATTATTATTAATTTGAGAAAGTTTATCACCTTGCAAGTTTAATAAGTAACTGTGTATAATGCTACAATAGGGATTATAGATTTTTTAAACATTCCTACCTCCTAGGAATTTTGAATGTGGTAATTCTGTGCAAATATAAATGTTCAAGAACCCCTTTTTGCCCCCTGGTTGTGACTTTAAGTCATCGGTTTTCAACCTGTGGGTCGCGACCCCTTTGGGGGTCGAACGACCCTTTCACAGGGGTCACCTAAGACCATCGGAAAACACATATATAATTACATATTGTTTTTGTGATTAATCACTATGCTTTAATTATGTTCAATTTGTAACAATGAAATTGGGGGTCACCACAGCATGAGGAACTGTATTAAAGGGTGGCGGCATTAGGAAGGTTGAGAACCACTGCTTTAAGTAAAGCACACCAGCAGTGCTCCCGTGATTGAATCAGCTACAGCGCCTCCTACAGGGTGACGTTGGGTGGCTCCCCAGAGATGGGACTTGGGGAACAATGATACACTAATGGTCCGTAGGCCTAGGGCTCCCTGCTTCCCTCTGATGTTACCCTGGGAAGCGGCTGAACTCTCCATCTGGGCAGGCCACCTGCGGTCCTGCCCCTGGCCTGGAGCATCTGGTCAAGTCCTGTATGTAGACCCTTGGGAAATTGTCTACTTTCTATCACTAAACGGGGCCACACACACACACACACACACACACACGCACACACCCACACACCCACACACCCACACACCCACACACCGGTTTGGAGGGGAAACAGGCCAGGCTGTCAGGGAGGTGGTGGCAGCCATGTGAGGGGAGTATGCTTGCAGCCGATGCTCACCGGGCCAGGCTGATGAGTCAGAGCCCTCAGCCTCCTCTCCACAGAGTCCTCCAGGCCCCAGAGCCTCCCCCCGGAGGATCCCATGCTGCCCTTTGTGGACATGAGCTGGCAGAGAGCCATCTGTCAGGGCTGGACCTCAACCAGGGCCACTTGCAGGCCAGTTCTGTGCACCCTCCTCCCAGTTTGTCCCAGGTCCAGCTGTTTTCTTTCCTCCTAGGACCTGAGCTCTCCTCCTATTGTGCAGCGGAGGGAGGGGACTCCTTTCAGGAAAAGACAGGAGAGTAGCACTTTGGAGACCGAGGGAGCGGCACAGCCACGAGCCACCTTCTCTGCGCCCTGCCCTCTGGCCAAGGGTCAAGCTGCCTAAGCCATTGGGACCAGGAGGCGGCTCAGGCTCCGAGAGCCCCGGGCAGGGCGGCCGCACAGCTCCCGCCACTGTGTGAACATGGCTTGCGCCACGATGTCTGGAAGCATGGATGGAGCGTGGATGGAGCATGGATGGAGCATGGATGGAGCATGGGCTGAGTGCTCCTGAGGAGAGGCACTGCTCTCCCCTCCCCAGAGGCCAAAGGCAGTGCGGTGTGAGCGGGGTTTACGGGGATGAAAGGGAGTCTGACTTGCGTCTGGTTTGCAAGACTTCCTGGAGGAAGCTGGGTTCGTGGGTGGGAGGGAAGTGGCTTAGGCAACAGGGCAGGATCTGCCGTCCATCTAACCACCGACTCTCTTGACAGCTCAGCCCAGGGAGCTCATGTACCCATTTTGGCAGAATGACACCAAAACCCCCAAAGTAGACGACGGAAGCTCCCCCGAGATCAAGCTGGCCATCCCCATCTTCTTCTTCGGCGTGCCTTACCGCACCGTCTATGTAAGTGGAGAGGCGGCCCGCTGTGCTCTGCGCCTTCCCCTTTGTTTGTCAGAAGTGAAAACATTTAAACACTTTCCGGGCCTCAGGAAGGAGAGGAGTTGTTGGCAGCCCAGGGGCAGGCTCAGAGATATCATGAACTGGTAGATTTTATGATTAAGGAGCTCAAAGGGGTATTTAATGGCTGATATTCGCAACAGGCAGGACAATACAGCTGCGAGCCATGGACATTACTTCGCTACCCGATAAGATGAAAAGCTACTCGGAGCAGGATCGTTTTCTTTCCCTGAGGGTGTGAAAAGTTTGTGTCTGTTGTTCTCGGGCTTTCTACCAACTGGGAGAGAAGTCAGGGCGCAGAAATGGGGAACCAGCTGTTACATAAATGTCGTTTGCAGAATTGGCCATGCTCATGGTGTCTGAGATAGGCCATAGGGCCCGGGGCAGACACACGTGAGGAAATGGCACCGTCTGCTGGCAGAGCTCTCCGGGCAACCGTGTGCTCAGGGGGTTGGTGGGTTGGTTGGGTTTGGTCCTAGTGAGGCTGTGGCACATGGAGAAGAAGGTGAAGACAGACCCGTGTCGCCTGAGTGCAGACTGGCTCATGGTTTGCAGTGAGGTTTTGTAATTTACAAGTTTACAAACACACTGGCGAATCACGAAAACCCCCAGGAGACTGAGTAGGTGGTTGGAAGGTCCTAGAAGTCCTTTAAATGCCTCATCCAGAGAGGAGAGGCTGTGCCCGGAGTGGAGTTAGAGGAGAAAGTACTTGGCTTTCTTTTCCTGACACCCCTCTCTTGTCATATAGTAGAAATCAAGGTCTAATACAGAGAGCTCCTCAGGTTTTTAATTTAACATTTTGCTTCCATGTTCTATCTCTCCTGTGACTCTGGATCTTCTTTTTTGCCCACATTACTCCCTGCCTGGCAGAACACACACACACACACACACACACACACACACACACACACACACCTGAGTAGCATGAGGTAAATGTAAACAGAGATAGCATCAAAAACATGAAGTGAGACTGATTATGAATAAGAAACGCAGCTAATGACACGGTGAAAGTGGAAGTAAATCACTGAGTTTAAAAGTAAACCAGCCTCCTGACAGCCACGCTGGGGGTTCCGACTCAGTGAACGTGGTTTCCATTCACCCGTCAGGCGGAGGTCTGTGTGGGTTAGGACTCTAGAGTTGTCATGGTTACGGATCCACCATGCAAAGCCTGTCTTACTTTTTAGGTCAATAACAACGGCGTTGTCTCCTTCAACGTGCTGGTGAGCCAGTTCACGCCCGAGTCCTTCCCCTTGACGGACGGGAGGGCCTTCATCGCCCCGTTTTGGGCAGATGTGCACAATGGAATCCGAGGCGAGATCTACTACAGAGAGACCATGGACCCTGCCATCCTGACAAGAGCCACCAAGGACATCAGGAAGCACTTCAAGGACATGGCAGCCTTCTCGGCCACGTGGGTCTTCATTGTGACCTGGGAGGAAGTCACGTTTTACGGAGGGAGCAGCACCACGCCCGTAATAACCCACATTTTCTGTGTTCCGTGCTCTCCCCTGCCACCCGCTTCTTGTCTGTCTCCGCCTCCGTGAAGGAGTCTGTTGTCAGAGCCGAGGAGCATCCCTTTCCTTGAGTTCAGTGGATGAGTCGTGCCGCCCACTTTCCAGCCACAGAGGGAGAGGGTAACCTCGCCAGTCCTGGCGGCCGTGGCCCTTCTGAGGCTGTGCAGCTCTGTCACTCAGCATCGCGAATGTGAGAAGGAGCCGGCCAGGTCCTTGCAGGAGGTGCCACGTCTATTTTGCAGGAGAGGGACTGAGGCAGAGACCAGATCCCGCCGCACGGTCAGGGCCCCTGAGGAACCCGAGGTCCCTCTGTTTTGTCTGAGGCACTGTCTCTCTTCATCAGCTAATTCCCCCCCCCCCGCCTTTTTTGTCCTTTCCCCCTACAAAACCTGGTAGGACAAGGGGTGCTGATTTGGGGCACAAATGACCTGACTGATTTTATTATGTTATGACCTTTCTTTTACTGTGCATTCAGATTTGATGCTAATTGGGTGATTAAAGCGTTTCACAGAGTAAAGTTTTAACATCTGCTCTGAGGATGTTAAACAAAAGTCCGATCAGAAAGATGGTACTGGCGCTATCGTAGAGACTCTCCCTCCAGTCAGCAACAGGCACACCTCCCGCAAAGCCCGCGGCTTCAGGCTGACTGGCCATGGGGAGCTGTGAGGCAGCAGATGCACCTTCATCTATGGTGTTTCCAGCAGCAAATGCCCTCAGAAATCAGCGCTCTGCTCCCTGAGGGTTGCTTCCATCCCCTCTGCTTTCCTGTTTCCTTGGCAATGAGTCAGCTGTTTGGGGCGGAACAGAAACGATTGAGCTGGAGACAGAGGTGGGCACGTGCGAGCACCTGGGCCTGGGCCCCTTCCAGCGCCAGGAGGCTCTGGGCGCAGCAAGGCCCGTGAGCAGCGGGCTCACGCTCGCAGCGTTAGAATGTGAGCCGCCAGGGGGCACTGACCTCAGTGCCTCGGAGGGGAAGGGAGGAACGCCAACCAAATGCTGCCACCGCATTTTCAAACAACTTCCGTTGGCAATAAGATGGCAAGATCATTAGGTCCTTCCTGGCTTGTCCTTTGAGTAAATGTCTGGACTATGAAAACTCCTTCAACAGGACGAATGAGGTAACAGCTGAATGTTCTGAGCTCCTTGGAGAAGACAGTACAACCCCCGCGGAGCTGCCGCCATGCCTGTCCCTGCCCTGAAATTGGCCTCCTCTCCATCTCCCTTCACCCCAGGCCCCTTCCTCAGAGGAGCCCGTTCACCGCAGGCCCTGCCCTGGCCTGAGAGGCCTGGGAGAGGCAGAAGGTCTCAGGGGCGCAGTAGGAAGGGAAGAGCAGCAAGGAGCAGGAGGCAGGGCTCAGAGAACCACTTGTTTGATGGAGGGAGATCTGATGCTTACTGGAGGCTTGCTCTGAGCTCGGCTCTGTGCGAGGCCATTTCTGCATTCATGCAGCCTCGCAGGATGTGCCGCTAAAGGTGAGAGCAGGCCCGGAGAGGCTAGATAACCTGCCAAAGTGGAAGAAGAGAGAGCGAACCTCAGAGGAGGGAGAGCAAGTGCAAACTGAAGTCTCCGAACACTAATCCTGAGCTGTTTTCTCGGCTGCCTCCTCAGGTGTCATTAGAAGTCCTCTGGAATATATGAGTGTTTTTAAGAATTAAAACCTGTTTTACAAAAGCAGGTCTGGAGAAGTCTTCAAACTAATGCGGAGGAGGTGTGCATGTAGAGGCGTGAGAGCGAGCCGCCAGGAGCCCAGGGCAGGGCCTCCGGGTGGTGGGGGGTGGCTGGCTGGTTGAGTGACTTCTGGGATCAGACATGGGCTGCACGTGAGACCTGCTTGGACCACAGATCTGCCCAACTGGGTTTCAGGTGGAGGAATCCGCTTCCTGAAGGGGAAGCCTGGACTGGGGGGCTGAAGCTTTAGTCCTCGTGTGACCTTGCGACCTTGACTTTGTGCCTGAGCCTTGAACCTGACCCTGCTGTGACCTCAGGCGATCTTTAGCGGGCTGCTCGCTCATCTCCTTGCCCCACTTTCCTTTTCGGTTGAGCAGAGCAAAGAATGGAGGCATGTACCTGGGCGACTCTATCATCAACGCCATCAGCAGTGTCAGCCCCAGAGCTCGAGGAGAAAGTCCTCATGGACAGAAAGGGCTTTTCTTTGCTCTCACCTTGCCTCCCCCGGGACCCTCGGGGGGCGGGGGGTGATTTGGGGCGTCCAGGATCCTCTGCGCCGTCTGATTACCCGGGATAAGGATGCGGGTCCTCTGCATCCAACAGAATGCCAGCAGGATGGTATCCGCAGCAGGGATGCTGGGTCTGAATGGAAAAGGTCAAAGCAGCCTCTCCTTTTAATTCTATTTTAATTTAATTTCCTGAAATGTGTGTCGGGGTGGGGTTAGCAAAGGGAAGCAGTAAAGGACAGCATTCGCTACAGCCTGTTCCCAAAAGCTGTTGGCAAGGCTCACTCGAATGTATAGAACATCTCCGTCCTGAAAAGCTCAGCGAAGAGTCTGAGCGGACAGCGTGGTGCCAGGAGATGGCTGGGCTCTGGCTGAGTCCTGTCTTCTGTGGCCGGGCCATTGTCAGATTTCCAGCAACTCATGTCCCTTACCTCTCAGTTTTTAAGCTATAAGATGGGAGTCGCCCAAAATGGCCCATCTCAGTGCTGGTCTGAGCTACAGATGAGTGCTGAGACTTTTGCAGATACAAAGTGATGCATGAATGCTTAGTTAGGGAGCAGTTTCCCCCACAAAGTGCTCCGTGAAAATCACTTTCCGCTGCCCTGTCCGAAAGGGAGGGGCACCCCTTTCCCCAGTGCCCTCTGGGAAGTGAGAGAGCACATGCTCTATCAGCTCTACCATCGCCTCTCCCTGCCACCTGCCACCCCCCCACCTGCCGTGCCCCCAC